CCTGAGTATTTCTTGTATAACGTGTGAAATAGGGCTCTATATTTGTTCTATTTCAAGTAATAGTGGCCTCTGCACCTTATTTGTTGAATAAGCCTTATTTTCCCCCATTGACTTCAAATATCAACTTAATCATACATTGTTAGACAGATATATACATTTGTCTCTAGAATGCTCATTATATTTCATTGATCTACTTGATTATTTCTGTGCTGATGTCATGTTGGTTTATTTGCTGAGACTTTATAAGGGTTTTAAATGTTTTTAATATTTTATAAATAACTTTGATATCTACAGAATAAGTAAAATCAATCTGCACTTATGAAAGAAAGAGAGAGAGAGAGAGAGAGAGAGAGAGAGAGAGAGGTGGAACTCCTACCTTTTGCGACAACATGGATGGAACTGGAGAATATTAAGCTAAGTGAAATAAGCCAGTTAATGAAAGACAAATACTATATGCTCTCACCTATAGGTGGACTCTATTCAACAAAATAAACTAACGAACAAAATAAACCACAGGCAAGGAAATATAGAGCAGACTGAAAGTGACCAGAGGGGATGGGGAAAGAGGACAATGGTGGAAAGAAGGGGAAGGTCCTAGACAAAGAACATGTATGAATGACCCATGGACATGGACAACAGAGTGGGAATTGACTGTGGGAGTGGGGGGTGGAGGTGGGATGGGTGGAGGGGGGTACAGGGGTAAAAACTGTGACAACTGTAATAGAATAAATGTGATTTATAAATTTAAAAAAACAGTGAATGGGTCAATAATGAGATGAGAAGAAATCAAAAAGTTTCTGGCAACAAATGAAAATGAACACAAGACAGTCAAAAACCTATGGGATACAACAAAGGCAGTCCTGAGAGGGAATTTCATACAATACAGGCGTACCTAAAAAAGATAGAAACATTTCAAATAAACGAGCTAACCCTCCATCTTTAAGAACTTGGGGCGGGGTTAGGGGCGGTAAACAAACAAGTCCCTGAGTGAGTAGAAGAAAGGAAATAATCAAGATCAGAGCAGAATTGAATGACATAGAGACTAAAAGAACAATTCAAAGGATCAACCAATTCAGGAGCTGATTCTTTGAAAAGATAAACAAAACCAACAATCCATTAAGCAGACTCATCAAGAAAAAAAGGGAGAGGATCCAAATAAATAATATCAGAAATGAAAGGGAGAAAAAACAACTGATACCACAAAAATAAAAAGGGTTATAAGAAATTTCTATGAACAATTACATGCCAAGAAATTTCAAAACCTCAATGAAATGGACAAATTTGTAGAAAAATTTAACCTTCCAACAGTGAATGAAGAAGAAGCAGAAAGCCTGAACAGACCAATATCAGTGGTGAAATTTAAACAGTAATCAAAAAACTCCCAGCATACAAAAGCCCTGGACCAGATGGTTGCACAGGAGAATTTTACGAAACATTTAAAGAAGAGCTAACCCCTGTCCTTCTCAGACTATTCGAAACAATCCAGAAAGAGGGAAGACTCCCAAACTCCTTTTATGAGGCCAGCATCATCCTTATCTCAAAACCAGATAAAGACAGAACAAAGAAAAATCTACAGGTCAATATTGCTGATGAACATCCTCAACAAAAGGTGGATGAACGCTAAAATCCTCAACAAAATATTGGCAAACCACATCCAGCAACACATTAAAAAGATCATCCACCATGATCAAGTGAGGTTTATCCCAGGGATGCAAGGGTGGTCCAATATTCGCAAATCAATAAATGTGATACATCACATAAAAAAAAGGAAAGACAAAAATCACTTGAGCATATCAATAGATGCAGAAAAAGCATTTGATAAGGTACAACACCCATCTATGATAAAAACATTTAGCAAAGTGGGAATAATGGAGCATAACTCAACATAATAAAGACCACATATGAAAAACCTACAGCCAACCTCATACTCAATGGGCGAAAACTAAAAGCTTTCCCACTAAGATCGCGAGCAAGACAATGATGTCCGCTTTCACCACTTTTATTCAACATAGTATTGCAAATCCTAGCCACAGTGTTCAGAAAAGAAAAAGAAATAAAAGGCATTCAAATTGGAAAGGAGGAAGTAAAACTATTTTTGTTTGCAGATGACTTGATAGTGTACATAGAAAACCCCATAGACTCCACCAAGAAACTTTACTCGACCTAAGAAGTGAATTTGGCAAAACAGCATGATACAAAGTCAGTATTCAGAAATCGAAGGCATTTTTTTATACCAACAATGAAATATCAGAAGCAGATATCAGGAAAAATCTTGGTATAGCAACAAGAAAAATAAAGTACCTAGGAATAAACTTAACCAAGGAGGTAAAAGATCTGTACTCAGAAAGCTACACAACACTGAAGAAAGAAATTAAGGAAGAAACAAATAAATGGAAGCATATACCGTGTTCATGGATTGGAAGAATTAATATCCTCAAAATGTCCATACTACCCAAAGCAATTTATAGATTCAATGCAATCCCTATTAAAATACCAATGACGTATTTCACAGACAGAACAAACATTTGAAAAACTTACTGGAACCATAAATGACCCAGAATAGCTGCAGCAATTTTGAGAAAGAAGAACAAAGTAAGAGGGATCACATACCTGATATCAAACTATATTACAAACCCACTGTAATCAGAAGAGTCTGGTACTGGCATAAGAACAGACACATAGATCAATGGAAAAGAATAGAGAACCCAGAAATAAACCCATATCTCCATGGATAATTAATATTTGACAAAGGTGCAGGAGTATAAAATGGAGTCTAAATAGCCTCTTCAATAAATGATGTTGGGAGATCTGGATAGCTACATGCGAAAAAAAAAAATTTGACCACCAACTTACACCATACACAAAAATAAACTCAAGATGGATAGAAGACTTAAATGTAAGTTGCGACACCGTAAAAGTCCTAGAGGATAACATACACAGGAAACTCTCAGATATCCCACACAGCAATATTTTCACCAATATGTCCTCTAGAGCAAGGGATATAAAGGAAAGAATAAACAAATGGGACTTCATCAAAATAAGAAGTTCTGCATGGCTAAGAAAAACTTCAGCAAAATGAAAACAGAACCAACCGTATGGGAAAATATATTTGCCAATGATTTCTCAGACAAAGGTTTGATCTCCAAAATATATAAAGAACTCAGATGATCCCACTCCAGGAAGACAAACAATCCAATTTAAAAATGGGCAAAGGACCTGAATAGACATTTCTCCAAGGAGGACATACAGAGGGACCCAGATATATATGAAAGGTTGATCAGTATCACTAGCCATCAGAGAAATGTAAATTAAAACCACTGTGAGATACCACTTCACACAGATCAGAATGGCCATCATAAACATATCAACAAACAATGGGTGCTGGAGAGGTTGTGGAGAAAAGGGAACACTGGTACACTATTGGTGGGAATGCAGACTGGTGCAGCTGCTGTGGAAAGCAGTCTGGAATTTCCTCAAAAAACTAAAAATGGAACTGCCTTTAGACCCAGCACTTCCACTGCTGGGATTATACCCTAAGAATCCAGAAACACCAATTCAAAAGAACCTATGCACCCCAATGTTCATAGCAGCACAATTTACAATATCCAAGTGCTGGAAGCAACCTAAGTGCCCATCAATAAATGAGTGGATTAAAAAACCATGGTACATTACACAATGGAATACTACACAGCAGAAAGAAAGAGCTACTACCCTTCACAACAGCATGGATGGAACTAGAGAGCATTATGCTAAGCAAAATAAGCCAGGTGATAAAAGACAAATACCATATGATCTCACCTTTAAGTGGAACCTAATCAACAAAACAAACAAGCAAGAACCTTTAAGTGGAACCTAATCAACAAAACAAACAAGCAAGAAAAGTATAACCAGCAACATTGAAAGAAAAAACAAGCCAACGGTAATGAGAAGGGGGGAGGGAGGTGGGTAACGGGCAAAAGAGGAAGGGTCAAATCAAGAAAGAGCTATAAAGAACCCATGGACAAAGCCAACGTGGGGAAGGATTGAGAGTGGGAGGTGGGGGTGGGTGGGGCAGGGGAAAGTGGGGCTGGAAAATGGAGACAAGTGTATTTCAACGATAAATTTTTTTTAAATGGAGAAACTTAGCCTCTGTCCTTCTGTTTACTACAGTGCTGCTTCTCTTGTTTATATTTTCCCCTCTCAACACAAGTTTCTAACTGATTGTTTTTAACATGTTCTTTTCAGTGGAAATTCTGATATATGTTGGCTTTCTTTATTGAACTTTTAGACCTTGACTGACTACCATATGCCAGGCATTGTACTAGGAGCTCTCATAGGAAATTTTTCTGTGAGAAATTGGATTAACTTGGCATACTACATGCTTATTGAAAAAATAACCCTATGAAAAAGTACATAAAAATGTAGATTAAATCCTTAAATGGATTTCTAACAGTATTAGTAATGTTTTCACAATAATTCAGTAAATGAACTCATGGCACAGTAATTTTTACATGTGTCATTTTGAAATGCATATATTAAAATTTCATGTATTCATGTGTGTATGTGTATTTATACAGGGTCCAGCAGAAGTAACACCCGCTTGAGTGTGGTCGGTAGGGTACATGAATGTCTAGCATGGGGTGGACAGCAATTTGAACATTTCACCTAAAATGTCATAGGTGTGCTTGATTGTGATATTGTTATGTTACAGAATTACATCTTTATGATTGTGTAATAAAAGATTTTTATGTATTAAAAAAGGGGCGCTATTTGTGCCAGACCTTGTATATGAGAAAGGGAGGAAGGACAATTTTATTATAATTGTTATAATAATCACTCAAAACATTGCTCCTCTTTTGGCAGTTTCTGTCAGTTACATTGTTTTGTTTTTTTCTGATTTATAATAAGAAAGACGAGGAGAAAATAATGGGATCTTACAACTAAGCAGAAAAATATAGCTACACATAGTTTACAACGGTCCTCAAGTCATGTTGTAACAAAGTCTTGATTCTTTCTCTCAGACCAGAAGATCAATTCAGAAGTTATTAGAATGGGAAAATAACAGACTATATCATAAGGTAAGAAGTTTAAGCAAATAAGTGCCCCATTGATATATTTGTATTATTAAATTGAAAAAATGGGAATTTCTGAGGCCACAAAAAAATGAATTAGAGAATTAATACTCGATTTTTAATGTATATTCTTTACCAAGTATTTTAAAATGTTATGATTTGGATCTTATTCCTGGATTGTTTTCAGCGATTTATTCAAATGTATAGGTAATTATTAGTATAAATTGATATCAAAATTCTTAACAAACTGTACTTTCTTAGCTTGCTTTACACTGGAAGTTGACTAAAAGGAAATGTGAAACTAGCAATATGATGGAGTATGTAAGTATGTGGTTGTTTCTAATTAAACTTTTTTGGATCCCATCCTAATTGTTACATTTTACCATATTCATCATTTGCCAAATCATCTTTCTACCTTTTTTCTCTTCATCCTCAACTTTTGTAAGTTGGAACATACAGGTTTTTCTTTCACCTTCTTTAGATTTGTAGACAACATACAACATCTTGAAAGCTAGCAATTACTTAGACCTTAGAAAAATCTCAGCTAATGTGCTCAGATGAAAATACTGCACAACCCTAATCTTTTAACATAGGTACAAATCATTGAATACAGTGATGGGCACAGCTGTTGTTAAACAAAATATTCCTAAATGTAATCTTGTCACAACTTGTATAACATAGGAACTGACTTCTGAATTCTGTATGTATTTTTCTGTCCTTTTTTTTTACTTCACTAATATTTAATTTTTAATGAAGAAATCATAGATTCTGTAGAGGGTCCAGCAAAAGTAAAGCTTGCTTGAGTATGGATGGTAGGGTCCCATGAATGTCTCCCACAAGATGGACAGCAATTTGAACATTTCACCTAAAATATATGCTTTGCTTGAGTGTGATATTGTTATATTACAGAATTACATGCTTATGATTTTGTAATAAAAGGGGAGCATTATTTGTGCTGGGCCCTGTATACATTTGTTTTACTGAAAGCTATGCCTCTAAATCATAAAACATAAATTCACATGTAGCCAATGTGACAAATTCAGCATTATTAACATTGAAAAGAATATGAAATTTATTCATTTCAAGTCACTGACATGTAGTATATATTTAATAATAAACATTGCATTTCCATTTCCTAAATAAGGATTATCATGGTATCTTTCTCCACTTTGAAAAATTTTGGGGGGGGAAATATACAAAGCATCAAAAATCTAAAATCTACTATTATAAAATTATGTGTTAAATTTATGTAAGTTCATAAATATCTTAGGTTATGATTATATTTTCAAACCTTTAATTAAAATATTTTAATCAATCCATTTGGACACTTTATTGTTTTTTATAAACAAGTTGTAAAAGATAGTAATACTCAACCAAATAGCAACTTTAATTGAAAAATATATAGATGTAATACAGGCAAAGGTATTTTTCTAATCTGTATAGCACAATTTTAATCCATTACACTTTGCTAAAAAGAAAAAGGGGGATGCAGGAAAGGTATAGAAGGACATAATGTAATAGGATTTACTTCTTTCCACCTAAAAAAAAGTTATTGTAAATCAGATATTAAAAAGTGTTGCTATGGCGCAACAGTTTTGATTTAATTTCCTATCTAATGAAAATGTGTGGTAAGTTCTTTTTATAACTTTTAAATATTTCACTTACTTTATAGTACAGGAAAAAATATAGTCCTGTGGAAAATGATTATAGACTTTCTGGGTTATATATAAATTATAGTAAAGTAAAATTATTTTGTCAATATATTCTTGTCTGCTTTTATTTTGCAGGTAATACTAATAGAATTCTTACCAAAATATCCCATATTCCGACCTGACTGAGGAATTTTATTCAGTCATTTCTGTGTTACCTGTCATTTCCTACCCTTAGTGCCTTGTAGGTGATTTTGGAATGAAGATGGTCTCATTGCTCTGTTCACCTTATTCTTTATAATGGTAGACTATTCTCCTCACTCTTTTATTTGTATTGGTTTAAAAACAAAATTTGCACATTTTTTTTGCTAAACGAGGCTTGTGTTTTGCACTCTCAGTTTTTAAATAAATACACACATATGTGTAGGTGTATAGTTGTTATTAAAGACAAAACATTAATGCTGGCATTAAGAAAAACTTGTTTTGAGCATGCTGCCTTATAATTTTCATACTCACTGTTTCTAAATATGCATCATTTTTTCTAGGCTACTTTAATGCTCTGTAACCCTTATTGAACAGACATAAAGAAGCTTTTGGTAGCTTTTAGAAATGGTTTTACTCTTATCTGCTTTTAAAGTACATGCAATTAATAGCACTGGTTTTGTCCTGCACTTAGCTAAGTTATCACTTATGTTAGTGGATAAAATATTTAAACTCCTAAAGACTTGTAAATATTGTCTCTTTGCATAATGTAAAATGTGATATGCCATGGTTTACAGAACTTAATATTATTCTTACTGTATTGCCAACAATTCTGCATAGATTTTAATATGAATGAAGTTTGTAAGCATCCTTTTGAATGTACAGATTGTAAACATGTTGTATGGCAAAGCCATAATAAGTATGCGAAAAATTTCAACTGTAGGACAGGGTTGCCCTTTGTAATTAGCTGATTAAAACTGAAATCGTTGTCTAAGATACTTTACATTGCACCTGAAACCAAGACCCTGATTTTTTCTATTTAATTCAGTAATTCCCATTTTGTCCTCCATTCCCACCCCCAAAAGAATTCATTTGGCATCTGACACATTTTAGAGCCTCACTATTTTCATTTATTTCCCTCAATGTTTCCTTTTCCTCATTTGAAAACACACACAATTAGCAGCTGTAAGAAGTGTTTCGAGATTTCAAATGGCTTAGATGGTGTCTAGATCCTCATGAAAGCTACTGCTGTTAATGCCCTTCTAGGGTTCTAATATTCTCCTTTGGGAAAGAGAAAGCTAATTGAAAAGCTGTACCTAAAGAATATGTATGTGGTGGGTAAATCATAATTGATATAATATTCTTAATCTTATTTTTGAGGATTTTTTAAACATTTGGATATTATTAATGAGGAAAGGCAAGTATTTTTTTATAATTCTACATTACACCATCTGTATATTGTATTGTGTGTTCACCACCCTGCCTCAAGTCTCCTTCCATCACCATTTATTCCCCTTTACCCTCTTCTCCCTCCCCCAACCCCCTTCCTTCTGGTAATCACAATACTGTTGTCTGTGTCCATGAAGGAAAGACAAGTATATAGACAAAAATATTTTTGTTTATAAATTCATCCCACATGTAGGCTTTTCATTGTTATGTGCATGTGTCTCTCTTTCTCATCCCAATTAAGATAAGTGGTGTGGCTCAGTGGGTTGGGTGTCATCCTGCAAACTGAAAGGACACCAGTTCGATTTCTGGTCAGGGCACATGCCTAGGTTGCTGTCCAGGTCCCCAGCTGCCTGCAAGAGGCAACCAATTGATGTTTCTCTCTCTTATCAATGTTTCTCTCCCTCCATTCCCCTCTCTCTAAAAATAAATAAGTATCTTTTTTAAAAAGCATAAGTGAGCACATTACATTCTAATTCTTCTAGAATTTGAGTTTTAAACATAATTAAAAGCTCTATATTGTGTTAATTCAACCGCAAATGTATGCCTACATGTAGGCATTATTTGTAATTCCTAGTGCTAAACATAAAATTAAAATATTTTATTTATCACCTTACTCTTACTGCTTTTAGTAAAGTATTTTAGGCAAACATTTATCCCAGTGAAAAGAACAATCATTTCTTCATACGAGGTCAAACCTTTTAAAACCACTTTTTTTTTAATTTATGGCCCCTTTGAAATTGACAGTCTATGTCAGTAATAGAACGGGGAAAAAGAAACCTTATTTAATGTGTGACTGTAGTTTTTGCACAAACACTTCTTCACCTCCCTCTGTAGAACCCCATTACGTTGACACCCAGACACTCAGAATCTAACTTTTCATATGCTGTGTGTGCCTGCAAATATCATCTGTCTGCTGCAACTGAAGGTGTATTTTTATAGACAAGGTAGAAACCTCTGAAAATGCATACCAAATGTCTTGTTTTATAGCTAAAGTCAGGGAAAAATTGTACCTGGTTTATGTTCCAGCTAATATCATCAGGTTTATGTTTCAAACTGTGACAGTTTAATACCAAAATTGATTTGCAGAATAATACAAAATTTATAATTATCACTAATTTCTAATTATAGAGTAAGTGTCAAGTGATGCTTTTGTCAACCCATAAAATCTTATTTTTTCCTATAAACTTAGAATTTGGCCATGTGATGTCCATAGTAATTTTTCTACCATGTATAAATCACACTTGGTTTTACTCAAACAGAAAGTAGTGAATTGGGTTTCTATGATATAAATATTGAGACAGAAATAGAATGCATCTGGAGGTGACAGTATAATTCAAATGACAGTAGTATTTGTTATAATAACTATGTGCCAGTATGTATAAACTTAATTTTAAAACCTACTCTAATTGTTCTTAAATTTATTATTTTATTGATTATTATGCTGGTTGTCTCACCTTATTTTCTTGAACTGTTCAAAAAATACCCAGTGCTTTTTTTTTTTTACTTTCTTATATGACTGCTTTTTCAAACTATTTGCCTCAGGACAGGGCTGATTAACATTTGTGTGTTTTGAAGTGCTTTATAAGGAGCTGTTTTCTTTTCACTGAAATTGGCCAAGGTGAATGCTAAAATGACACAGCACGCTGTGGTCATTATTTCCTCCTCCATCAACCTTTTTTTCTTTTATCCTCAGGATAGTATATACTCAGATATTTTCATCAAGTTAGTGAAATATTTTTGTGAAAGTTGTTTTTGAAGAAAGTAATTTTGAATTTCTTTGCTGCATTTTCCTTTATGAAATCTGCTATGGTTGTTTCCAGAGAAAATAACATGTATTTGCCAAAGTATATAAATCTCACAAAGCTTTAAGATTGCATGTTAAAACTAGCTCTTCTCTAACTTTCCCTTATGCATCTCCACCCCATTACCCTTTTAAACACCCAAACTGTATATAAAATGAAATAAGCTTTAACCTTTTTCAGCTATTCTTTGTTCCCCTTTAAACCCCTCATATTAATTTAGGAAAGAGAACATTGTAGTCAAACGTTAGACGTTAGACGTAGATGGAGAAGTGCCTTGTCTTTTTTGAAAAAAGATTACATTTTTTGTGGAAGGGAGCAGAATGGATGAATTGATAAATATTAGATTTAAAACCATCTTTTCAACTCAGTATATTTCACTTACACATTGTATTTCTTCTTATTATTTAAATTCTGTTTCCTTGTTTTTCCCCAGTCATGTCATCCATTAGTGACGTAGTATTACAGAACAAGACTATCAGTTTTAATTCTAATGCTAGTGAAGATATAATTTAACAGAGTTCTCAAATAACAATGGATTGAAGCCCCACCAAAACCCACTTAAGTATTTAATAGACATACTGTTCATATTATTATGACCTATAATCAGACTGTGTTAGTATTTAGTACTCTACCATTTCTAATGAAATTTATTTTTTTTAATACTTGGAATGAAGTTCTAAGCCTTTGAACAAATAGGGTTTTTTCCAAATGTATAAGAGCTTTAAAAATCATTAGCATTTTTATTCTGTTTACAAATAAACCACCACTTAAAAAAATCAAATCTCACTCCTTAAACAATATTTCACTAGAATTGACTTTGACCTAGGAGGACATAGAAATTATAAACATCCATTTAATGGGAGGAGTTTCAAACAGTGGAAAATTTTTTGCTAATTTGATAGTAAAATGCTCAAATTTATTAAAATTAGGTCATCTTATGCCTATAAAATTCTAATTTAAAAATCCATTTTGCAACAATGGTCAAGTTGTCTGTATTCTTTTAAATGGTGAATTACAGGGAAATTTTCCACAGAAAAGAAATAGGTTTATTAACATTACTTGTTTATGTAATATATGGACTAAAAATAAGGATAGAAATAAATGATAGATAGACAGAGAGACAGACAAACAGACAGACTGACTGACTGACTGACTGACTCATCTTGCCCCAAATTTCTCTTTTCTGATTTGGAGCCTGCTTTTCCATTTTGACGATGGCAACCTGAGAATATGTTTCATTTTCTGTAGATTCTGTCAGATTCATACTATATGAAGAAATGATGTAATCTTATGGGCTCCAGGAAAGTCACTTAAATTACATGTCAATCTCTTTATCTGTAAAATTATAGGATTGAACCTAGAGCTGGACAGAAAATTAAAGATTACCTAATCACATTCTGTGATTCTACGAATCCTTAGGAGATTTTTACCCTACAGAATCTCAGAATGATTTTTTCAGATCTACTACCCTTGGTAGGAACTCTCACAGTGCCTTGCACACAGTAAAAGTTTGATTCAACAACTGGCTCCTAGCTGATATGTATTCCTATCACACAGACTTAAAGAACCTGATGCCTGCCTGCTAGACCTCAGCCCTATATGGTAATGAGAATGAATGTAATTCCCCAGGAACTGAGGACTGAGGTCTGTGGCCTTTGCCTATGTGGAATCTGACTATGTAGTTGATAACTGTACAAGAATTATAGCTGTAACAATGATTGGAGATACGGGAGGATCTACTTTGACATTAATGCAAAAAGAGTTTCATATCTTATTCAGTATTGTTTCAGTGACTTAATAAGCTCCATATGCTCACAAAGATCTGTTGGAACAAATTGATAATATTAGCTGGAAAGGAAAGTGGTTCGGAATCAAACCCAAGTCACTTCTGGTTGGTTCAGTTCTTAGCTCTGCTGCTTAATTCCTCTGTATTTCATGTCCTCGTTGTGTAAGTGGGGACAATAATCTGGGCCTACCTCACAGGGGAATTGAGGATATTTTCATATATTAATGTGCTTTTTGAAGTTGATTGGAAAATATACTGGATGTCATAATTTTGTAATTTTTAAATATATTGCTTTAAATCTGTTATGTTTTCTTTCTCATTCAAACCCTACAGAATGAGTGTTGCAATTAATCTATTTTTCAGTAGAGAATT